GCATGTCAGGAAGCTTCTTTTTCTTTTTTTAAAAAATAGTTTTGAGTTCTGATTTTTAAAGCTTAATTCTTCTCCTCCCACCAGGGGCCATTTTTATCCATTCATTTTTTTTCCCAGAAATTGTTTCCCTCATTTGATCAACATCAATCACAGACCATAAGCTACCTCCTTGCAAGGCACTGGAAGACAGAGGGTGTGAAGCCCTGTTTCTTCCCTAAAGGGCTCAGATTCTCCCATTTGGGTGTTACTTCTTTTTTAAAATGGATTATCCCTGAACCCTAGATAGTAAGGTACAAGCTTTTATGGGGTTTGAAATGCTTAAATGTTAAAATGTATTTGCTCCATATTTGCAATTTCTCTCATGTTCCTCCTCTGACTTCTGTACGGGAAGAACTCTTATTACCCTTAACTGACGCACAGAACGCTCAACCAGATAGATCCTGGGAAACCCATGGGGTGGTAAACCAGCTGCCCAGTGGTGGCCCACTCCTTCCTAAGACGACCGAGACCTCCGTTACATAAACAAAAGAGATTGCTGGCGTTCATTTGTTTTCACTCATTTAATCTTCCCAGTGATCATCCCCACTTTGCAGGTGAGAAAATGAGGTTCAGACAGAGTAAACCACATGCCAGGCTCTGCTGTTAGGTAGCAGAGCAGGGACTCAAGCCCGGGAAGGCTGGCCCCTGAGCTCTTCAGCTCCGTCCAGGGTCTCCTGAGATCTCATCCCTGGAGACGACCTGTGGCTGTTCCCACTTGGTTCCTGAGCCTTCCCACGTGATGTGGCTTCCAGCCACCACTGTCCCCCCATTCAGGTCTCTTCTCAGTTCCTGCTTCTCCATGGGGCACCTCTCCTGAAAGGGGCACCGGGAGCTGTGCAGGCCACCCCAGGCGGGGTCTCTCCACCCCTCTCTGGTGTGCACCTGCAGTCTGACGTCCTCTCGGCTCTCTGCTGCTCGTACGGGTGACCCACGGCAACGTCGGAGTCAACTGAGATCCGCAAGTCTCTTTGCTCTAAACACACGGCACCCCTCACCTATGCCACCCTGGACCTTAGGCGGCTTGATGGCTCTAATATAACCTTACCTCTGGACCATTAGACTTAATCTTCTTGGATTTAACCAAATATTCTAGCCTGTTAACTGTTACGGTTCTTTGCACCCAGGCCCTGTCATCTAACATGTTTCACGATTTCTCCTACAAGCCTGCTTTTTATAACCTTACCAGGTTGCTGACAACGTGGTCACAGAGAGCGAAGGCTGGTGGCCCCATCACTGCAGTCTGTATCTAGAATGACCTCAGTCTAAGAGGAGGTCTCCTTGGGTAGACAATGACTGAACTAACTGGGCTCTCATCCTGGTGACTTCTCTCCTGACCTGGCATGGAGGAGGAGGGCCATCAAAACGGAAACAGGCTTAGTTCCTGTGTTAGAACCCTTACGTTTACATACGTTAGGACATTACATGGAGAAAACTGGCAGAGGGCCCTGGGCAAGCGCCTCCCCGCCCTAGGCCTCCATTTCCCCATCTGTAGACTGGGATAATGAGACTCTCTTCACATGGTTATTGAAAAGATTAAAGGAGAAAAGACACAAGAAAGCGCTGTGTCACCTGTCACACAGCAGGAAAATTAAGGGGCAGATAGCGAGTAATTGATAGTTAGTTCTAAAGCTAAGACTCTGAGCCCTGGAGGGGCAGGGAGGGGCTGAGTCACCTTCTCGCATCCTGGTGTCTGGCATCTCAGACACTGTAGGATCCACCAAGCATGGCTGAGTTGGATGGACTCAGAATTAGCCAACAGGGCTTAGGGGGGTTTGGTAAAGTGAGGTCTCTGGCTCCCTACTGTTTGAGCCCCAGGGTTTTGGCTCCCAGGACGGAGGGAACAACAGTGAAGACAGCACTTCCACTTCTGAGCACCCAGATTTCCAGCCACTTTGATCCCACCCACAGACCAAGAAGCAAGATCAGGGAAAACTTCGTAGCCCTCCCGAAAGACAAGACTGGTTTACTTACACAACAGAACACTTTTGCCGCCATATTCTGGTCGAACTGGCCAAGGATGATCCGAACGTCATTTCCCTGTGGACAGAAGGACACGTGCGTGAAGGAGAATGAACAACCGGTGCTCCTAGAGGGCTCGAGGCCACGGGCAGAGAAGGCTGGTGCGTCCCAGGCTCCCAGCCAAGAGCTCTGCCCAGAGCACAGGGGTAGGGCACAGGGCAGCCCAGCCCAGCTTGCATGCTCTGACCTTCTCTGGGGACAGCTTTCCCTCCGCCATCCCTGATCCCTGGGACAGGTCTTTACAGGCTGGGGGCTGAAGGTGACTGCCCTGAGAGGCCTGGGAACTGGCCCTGCTCTCCTGGACCGAGGGCAGACCCTACATTGCAGGATGTGAGACGGCATCTGATGTTATCCTTCACTTGACGTACACAGGAACTGAGGCAAGGGGAGGGAAAGGAGCTTCCAGGTCCCTCAGAGCTTCTCAATTAAGGGCCAAGGTTTCAGAGCCAGAGAGAGCTTTGGTCAAGTTTCAGCTCCACCCACAAGCCTCAAATGGCCTCAGGCAACTCCCTTCCCCAGCTCAGCCTTGACTTCCTCATCTGCAAGATGGGAACAATGGCAGCATCTACCTTACAGACTTGTGGGAGGCACTGAAGGAGATACTTCTTACAAAGTGCAAAAACAGTGTGTGTAAAAAGTGCTCAGTGATGCTAGCTGGTAATGCTAATTCTTTTTATCCTCTTCTCCCGGACCCTTTTGTAATTGTAACAATATATATAACACGACATTTGGCAGTTTAATGTTCTTCACATGTACAAATTAGTGGCATCAGTTACATTATTCATGCCGTGCAACTATCGCCAGTATTGGTCGTAAATTCTCCACCATCATGAGCAGAGCTCAAAGCTCCCTAAGCTATGACTCCCCCTTCCCTTCCCTCCCGACCCTGGTAACCACTAGGCAACCTTGGTCTCCGTGCATCTGTCCGGCTACATTTTTATTTCAAAGAAAGAGCTGCATCTGAAAGTGCTGTAAATGGGATTACAGTCATTATCTAAAAGTGGTTAATAGGTGTATGTGGTCCAGCAGCCCTGTCCTCGCCTTTATTCATTCATCTGACAAGCATTTACCCAGTGTCTGCCTGCGATTCTCCCCTGGGACAGGGCAAGAGGCTTTGGGTTGCTTTCTGAGGGGCGGGGACCAGGCCGTGCTTTGCCCCACATAGGACAGGGAGAGAGAGGTCAGGAGAGCCCCCTGAGCCAGGTCACACTCCCGCAGGCCAGCCACCCCAATCCCCTGCTGCCCTTTGCAGCAAGGCCAGTCCTTCCAGGTGGCACTGTCTCCCCTCTGCCCGTCTCATCCTCTCCCGCAGGCCTCAAGGCCATTTGATGCATAGAAAAGAGAAACATGTCTTTAAAGATCAGTTTTTAGCATCTTTCAAAATTGGAAAGTGCTGACTAGGAGGCCATCTTACTCATCATGTACTTTAGCAAAATGAAAGAGGCCTGGATTCTAAAATCGTCTTTCGTTTGTGAGCAAGAATGGGGGGAAACTTGCTCTGAAAGGACTTTAAACGATCCTTAACAGTGTCGTTGGAGGAAGACAAGCCTTTGTCATCACCACGTCTGCAACGCTATAAAAAGTTCTAAGCTGTTTCCGCTCTGTGGACATGCTCCCAGGCACATTCCAGGATTTTTCTGCTTTTTGGCTGAATTCCTTTAGCATTTCACGCTGCTAACAGGAGCCATCCTCCGCCCTTCTATCTACCCATCCATCCATCCATCCATCCATCATTTCTTGAACATCTCCTTTTTCCCAAGTTCTGTGTTGCTGGGCATGTGACAGTACGAACAGTTCACTGGATTTTAGTCTGACAGGCCTGTAGTCCTGTACTCAAATCCTGGCTCTACCACTGACTAGCTGTGCGATCTTGGATCTATGATCCTCGAGCTTCAGTTTCCTCATATCTGAAACAGGAATAATCTTACCTCCTTTGCCCGATGGTTGTAGGGCTTATAAACGTGAAAGTCACCCTTTTGCTCCTATGAGACCTCTCTCCCAGTTCCCCTCCTACTCCCTGGTCTCTCCTGATCAGACAGACTTCACATCACCTCGCCATCCTTCTGCCCCTCCCTAAATGCTGGTGGAGCACAGGGTCCTGCCCTTGGCTCTTTGCTCTCACCACTCTCCGTGGACAAACTTATCCATGTCCCCAGGCATTCATGTCCTCTTCTGTGTACCTGTGGACTCCCTAATCTCTTGACCCAGTCTAGACCTTGTCCAGCTGCCCAATGCACACCATCATTTGGACATCCCCCAGGGACCTTGAGCTCAACATGTCCCAGGCTGATCTCACCAACTTTCCATAAGCCCCTACCTCCTGCTGTGTGCTTTGTCTCACAGAATGGTGTCATCACCTCCCGCTCATCCCACTAGGAAACCTGGGAGTCATCTTACATTCCCTCCTGCCCTCACCTCCCCCATGCAAGCAATAACCAGGACCCGTCAGTTCCGTCTGCTCACTGGCTCCTGAATCATGCCCACCTCTCCATTCTCACACCATCATTCCCTATTCAGTGACCTACAACAGCCTCCCAACTGGAATCCCTGCCTTTATTCCTTCCCTGGCCACTCCGCTCTCCACAGAGAAGACAAGGTGATCATTCTAAGATTCAAACCTGACTGTGTAAAACCTTTCACGGCTCCTTATAGTTTCAGACCAAACTCTGAGTCCTTAGTAGAACATTCAGGATTCTTTATCAACTGATTCCTGCCCATTTCTCTAACCACATTCTCATCACCCCTACATAGCCGTCAGAAAGAACCACCTCCAGTTCACTAAGTCTGCCAGCTATCCATCCGTCTGTCCACCCATCCATCCGTCTGTCCACCCATCCATCCATCTGTCCATCCATCCCTCTGTCCATCCATCCGTTTGTCCATCCATCCATCCATCCATCCATTCATCCACCCACCCACCCATCTTCTCTCTCTTTCTCCATCTTTCTGCAAGCTCATCCTCTGTCCAGAACGCCCATCCCCTCATCCCGACCCTATGCCTGGATAACTCCCTACACACACCCTTCATGCCCTGGCTCAGGCATTGCTCTGTCTGGAAGCCTTCTCTGTCCCATAAAGCCTTGGTAGCCACACCCTCCTCTGTGGGCCTAGGGCACTTTGCTTCCCTCAGTCATGGCACTAGTCCATTTCCTTGTCTGTCATCCCCTTTAGCCATGGATAACTTGAGGGCAGCAACTGTATTTGGCTCCTTTCTGGGTCCCCAGCTCCTGGCACAGGGCATGGCATGGCAATTAATACATATTTGTGGAATGGCTGGATAAGTGACTGAATGCTGTGTAAAGCACCAAGGACAATACCTGGCCCACGGTGCTGTTCAGGAGCGGGTACCCAGTATCACGGCTACACTAATACTTCGCTGGTCCTAGGGCCTAGGCAGTGATTGGGTTCACCATGTCTGTTTCTTGAAGTGAACCAAGGGACCCACATTTCATGGCTGACTGCCTGGCCACCTGCTGACAGATAACCAGCGTTGCCACTTGTGGACCATAGGGTCTTAGTTGCCATGACAACTAAGTTGCATGGATCACTTGGTTCTGTGCTTCCAGACTGCTAGGGCTGGAAGGGGTCCAAGAGATCACGATCTAGTTAAACCCTTCCCAGAGAGGCCAAAGGCTCTCCCCAAGGCAGCACAGCAGCCCAGAACCACAGTTCTCACTTGGTGCCTCCTTCCACTGTCAGAAGGATCTGGAGAAACATCCCACCCAGAGCCAGGCAGTGAAGGGTTGCTGCCCACACCCGCTCCGATTCTAGGCAGTGAGTAAGGGGAGCAAGATGTTGCAAAGTCAGGGAGGGAAGGGGACTGGCCAGTACCCAGTGTAGCTGGAGCCTGGGATCAGGGGTTGGGGAGAAGGATATAAGGCTGGCCTGGAGTCCTCCCGGGGGCACCTTGTGACCAGTGTCAAGAGTTTGTGCTTCTCAAAGTGAAGTGTGAGCATCCCCTGGGCACAAGGGGATGTCTGGAGGGTATGAAAATCATGAGACCTGGTTTTTTCCAGAGAAGCAATTTACTGGAAGATTCGGGGGTAGAGGGAAGGCTGTGGGTTTGGTGGATCTTAATGTTTTTTCATATGCATGCTCTTGCAAAAGCTCCAGGCTCACACCTTCCATGTTGCATGACTTGTATCATTTCATGGAAGCCCAGAGAGTAGGAGAGATTCTTTGTTAGCAGTCACCCCTGCTTCTGGGCAAGCCCCCCAACTCCCTGCCAGAGGTGTGGGTGTGCTCTCCTCTGTGGTTGGAGGGCTTGGGGCAGTTTAAGGGGTGTTGGGTGGGGGACAGGAAGGAGAGCCATGGAAGTATCTAAGGATGAGAGTCACAGAACAGAGCGGGAGGCTTGGAGATGGTGGCGAATCCCAAGCCCTTCCATGGACTCTGCAGGGGCGCTGGGGGCTGGACAGCCTGGCGTGAAACTAGACGGCCTGAAGCGGGGCAAATGACAACTTCTTCCAGATGCTAGGCCCGGGGTCGGGGCGGGGAACCCCTGTAGACTATACATGGAGACCTACATTCACACCCTCAACAGGCCACCCCCACAGAGATGGACAAAAACGGAACGGACAGCCATAGCGGAGGGCATGCCGCCCAAATCCAGACTCCACCGAACAAAAGCAGGATGTGGGCTGCACAAGACCCACTAAACTCTTCCTGCCGAGGAGCCAGAGGCTCCCCAAATCTGGGTAGGTGTCCCCTCCTCCTTCGTAGCCCACTCCTCATATTTGTTGCCTGGAACCCCTTGGTTTCTGTGATTCTAAAGGCAGGTAAGTCACACACAGACACACACACAATCATCAAATAAAAAGAAGATCAAGAAAAATACCTTTAAGGATGACTCAATTCAAATAACTGGTATGTAACCCCAGTTTCAAGGGTCCAAATGCAATAAAAATAAACAACAATTCTTAAAGTCTTTCTAGCTCTAGTGCTAATGGTTCCTCCGCCCCACCCTAGGAGGCAGGTGCTATTTGAATGCCCACTTTGGAAAGGGATGAGCAAACCAA